GCTAACAAATATAAATGTGTCAGTATTTAGATTACATACATACAATTTCACATAATGTAATGGCTCAGGTTTTCCACTAGGTGGAACTGATGCTCTGCTTTAAACCAACGACTCGTAGATTGTTCCAACACACTGACATCTAGTGACAATAACAAACTGTTGGAAAAATCAAATAAAATCAAAGAAACTCTTGAATGCTGTCTCTTATCAGACTGGAGAAAATAAAGCAATTTAATGAAAACAATTATTCATAACATATAAATATGGAAATGTTGACTTTGCTGCATTAAAATGCATATTAAACATTCACACTTTCATTGCGTTTTGGATTTCAAATAAAAAAACTGAAACGAATTTAAATACATAATGCAACAATAAAACTCCATATTCTCTCTCTTCACCCAGGTGGGCATCCCGGAGTCGTCAGTGAAACGCTGCGTCCTCCAGATCTCCAGTGCGCTGGAGTTCATCCACAGCCACGGTCTGGTCCACCGGGATGTCAAGCCCGAAAATATTCTGCTGCTGGACACTCACTGCCGTCAGGTCAAGCTGGCAGACTTTGGTCTCGCCCAGAAGAGAGGAACCCTCATACGCTTCATCACAGGGACTTTGCCATACATGGCCCCAGAACTTTGCAGCGTGGCTCTGCTGGACAATCAGAAAGAGGTGACAGTGCCTCCTCTGAGCGTGGAGCCCAGCCTGGACACCTGGGCCTTTGCAGTGGTCATCTTCTGCATCCTCACTGGTTACTTCCCATGGGAGCGTTGCATGGACTCGGACAGCTTCTACCAGGAGTTTGCCGACTGGTGCGAGTCGAAGAAGAAAGTTTATGTGGAGGATGACATCCCTCCTCTGTGGAGGAGGTTCACCCCAGAGGCTATGGAAATGTTCAGTCTGCTTCTGGCTCCAGACGCAGTGCAGAGGAGTTCAGCAGGAGCAGTGAGAGCGTATGTGGAAAAAGACTGGCTGAGAAAAGACCATGGCAACCAGCTGCTCTAGATAAATGTACAGTGTGTCTTTATTTGAATGCATGCTCTGCAGGAAAATATATTGATTAAACCAAAAAAACTGAGGTAACAGTTTGTGTACTCACGTCATAATTAAACGACAAAAATTATTATTCAGTTGGAAGTTCTAATGTGGCTTACCAAAACTAGACAGCATCTGTATATAAATCTTTATTTTTTTCCCTTTAGATAATGGAAGGTGATGTAGTGACAGTGATTTTCTGCCAACAGCCATCAATATCTACAATAACTCTTTGAAAAATGTAATTAATATGAGTTACAACTACATTTAATTTAGAACAACATTTCTGATTCAAACGGATGAATCAGAAACCCTTGAAACAAAGACATTTGATTTGGTCCAAAACATTAGCTAGTCATGTGAAAATCATCTCCTGAATAGCTCATGTATAGCTACTGTATTTTTATAACATTATATTGTTTGAAATTAATAGTTCAAGTCTAATAGGTGCAGTTTTGTTGTATGTTATGTGAAACATGATTTTAGTTTAAGCAATTCACCTGGACAACATGGATGCTGATGTTGCCAGCGGTAAATTAAAATGACCACAGGACATTTTCCAGTTTTCTTACGTTTATGGACAACTCTGATGAACAGAAACCTTTAGTCCTGGAGTTCTTTTTTTTTTAAAGACCCTGAAAGATAATTTTTATCTTCTGTCTGAAAAAGTGTGGCTCTGAACTTTAGGGGCCTTTGAATTTCTGTGGCCCTGATCTCCCTCATGTCTGCATCGGGTCGTGGAGGGCAGGTGTGTGGCTGTTGTAAACCTTTTATAAATAAGGACACACACACACACACACACACACACACACACACACACACACACACACACACACACACACACATGTTTAGATTAAAGTGTTTTCAAATACGCTATGCTGGACTGTGGTTACATCCTGTATTTACTAGTACTGGATTTACTGTACTGTTATGTTGAACAGTTACTATTTAGTAATATAATACAAACATCTGTTTATGTGTGTAATTCTGTGTTTGCATGTCTGCTTGTTCATGAGAAACATTTATGTTATTTATTTTAAGACGCAAAATAAATAACATTCTTGCTTTATTTTTGTTTCAATGTTTAAAGAACTTATTTTTCTTTAAAATATCATTAGTTCAGTGTTTTTCTACATTTCTCAAGTAAATGTAACAGTAAATCTAAGTAATTAATGAGAACTCTTGATGTCTTGTTGCAAACTTTAAACAGGACTTCATATGACATCTCAATATTGGTTTTGAACTTGCCATTCTTCTGTGAAGCTCAGATTGATAGAATGGATGTCTCAATATTATGCTGTCATGTCTGAGTTCTTGGTCCAGATACCTCATGCTTCTTGGTGCTGCTTGGTTGCTTTTCTCATTAAATGAATTAGCAAAAAATCTCAAACTGTTTTCCATATTGTCATAATACAATGCGTTTGGAGATTAGTACATAACATAAAAAAATAAAGTACTATGAATACTTTCCAGATGTTCTGTACAGAAATGTGAAAAACATATTTAATGCCTGATTACAGATTATTTTCAAAAGGTGTTTTAGATCTAACAACAAGCCTCATGATGCCTGTTCTAATTTGTTGAGTGTGACTTCTAACCTGTCAAAGTCAATATTATAATCAAACATGATGTCAAAGATAACAATGCAAAATACAAAAAGCTGTTTTAAAATGATGATTGTTGCATGGCAGCCTTGCCTGTCAGACTTCCCATAGGGCAGCTATGGCTACTATCCAGTAGCTTACCACCATCAGTGTGTGAATGTGTGCATGACTGGGTGAATGACTGAATGTCATCTGGACTTAATAAAGTGTAAGTAAACATTTGAAAACTACATTTTGAATGTAGCCATTGTGTGATATTAAACATTTACTGGATAGAGAACAGATGACTGTTAGCAGATGTACAGTATGTGCATTATACCGCACCCTGAATGAAAAATGAAGAGGAACATCAAAACACATAGTGAATATGAAGAGATGAGAGCTGAATATTAATGCATTATTTACTTTCCCACTAACTTGGATTTCAGCAAATTCCTGTGTTTTGTTTGGAATTAAAGGTTTTTTTTTTCTCTTTGTTCATAAATTAAAAACCCTTAAAAATAATGTTAATAACAAAATGAAAAAAATATATATATATTTTAAGCAGCGCAAAGTTACAGAGGTGCATCATTCAGTACTGAATATGAACAAATACAGTAAAATGAGACACAGAGGTGTTTCTAAAACAAGCCTTTAAAATGAGAGTAGTTTTTATTCTCTATATGTGAACTGGATTTTATTAATACTTAAATAAAATACAGCATTATAAATAAGCGTACATTTCTAGCTGTCTCTTGCTTTTCATACTAGCACTTAGCATTGTTATCATTGATAGAATCGATAAGGATATATTCCCTGTAATATACATAGATCTGTCTCTTGTGCAAAAGAGACACTGAATCAACAGCCCACAGTATTTTCTAGAGAGGTTAATATGCTGTCTACTTCCTATAATCCTGTTTTTATCATTTCTTTGGTGTGTTTTCTAACTTCATTTTATTTGCCTAACTGAAAACAACAATAGCTTAAGACATTATCAAAATATTATTATTACTATTTTGTATTTAATTTGCAATAATTATGAATTTTGAGAGCTGACTCCGTCAGCTTTTTTTTTTTTAAACTGACAGATTTCATGTTTGCATAGATTAATCATGTAGTCATTTTAGAAATTGTTGACAGGAAGGAACTGCTGTGGTGGCCTGAAAAAAATCTGACACTGAAGGCAATGTTCAAAGATATCTGTAATGTTCTTTATTTTATAAAGCAACCCGCTTCCCACTCTGTCAAATTCAGGGGTTGACAGAGTGCAGAGTGATGATAACGCTCCAAACTTTTTTCCAGATCAGTTCCCAGCCTTATTAAATGGCTTTTCAACTTTTTTAAATCACTGACTGGTGAATGAATCAAATATCTCCCATTCCTTGTCTCATAAATTTAATTAAAGGTGATTTAATTAACAGGATTGTAAGAAAATCCTGTTCTGATTGTCTAACAGACTGTAAAACGTCAGCGTTGTTAAGCCCAGGCATTTCAGATTGCTTAGGATTCTTTCCAGTGTTGTCTACCTTTATCACAAGAAAATATAAAAGAAAAATCTAGTGCATAAAGGTTGACAAAAGCTTATTTTAATAATACATTGATTTCTTGCTTGTTTCTATTCACATGCAACAGTTTAAAAAGACAACACAGACTCCAGGTTTAAAAGCAGTGGCTTAAACTTCCCTTGCAGCACTGATTTTCTATTGCCTGGCGATAAACATTTAGACATATAAAAACACTTGCTGCTCACTCTGGCCTGTGATGTCTAAATTGTCTTGTGAACAGAATCTTCTTCTGTGCATTTGTCTGTGCATTTGTGAATATTGAGACTCTTTAAGCGGAAAGTCTATTAATAGAAGTTATTTACTGTCAGAAACTTCTTATCTGATTAAGTTATGGGTTTTGCTATGACAAATCGCTTCCTGTCAGGGTCTTAACCAGTTCCTGCAAGTCTTTTGATGGCGAGAAAAAATTTACTTACTGAAACTTTGACTTTATTTACAATTGCTCTGTAGGAAAAACCTACATTTTAAGTTGTGATGGTCTATATCTATTCCATTGTTAATGCATTTTTATACATGTTAGTAGCAACACACTGCTTTCTCCAGAACAACAGATGCTCACCAGAGTTTGGTATCCCAGTGTGTATGAACACTGCTTTTATGCAGACAGAGGGGGTGTAAGTAATCCAGAAAAATTGGAAAACCTGAAGGAATTAGCAGCACCAGATTTCAAGATCTGATCAACCTTCATTGCTGCAGAAGAGACATTTAACTCTTCTGCAGCAGAAGTCTGTGTTCCCTGAAAATGGCCTCTTTGAAAAATAATTTCAGAATTATACATAATCATAGTGTTGCATAACATGCTTTCAAGATGAGAGCCTTCAAAAAAAAAAGACCCCATACATGTTAAGAGGAAGTGCCTCAGTATATAGATAAGGAGAACTCAAATGAGTTTATGCATTCTTGCAGCCATGGGGAAAAGACAACAGGGGAACTCCCAGGTTTTTGCAGGTTTTATTTGTAAGATCATATTCCATTATTATCTACAGTCTTTGCTTGTGTTGTATCTTATTTTTCTTTATGAAGTGAATTTGGCTTCTGATTGTAGCTTCTGGTTTAGAAAACCTTGAGCATCTTTAATGTGCTTTAGTTTAAAACACTTTGATTCTTCAAACCTGAACTAGATTGTTGTTCAGAATTAGATTCTACTCTAAATTACAGGAATAGAGGAATGTTTAAAATTTTTGATTTTTAAACTGCTATTTGATTTGTGAAATCTTTATTGTAAAGCCTGGTAGGTAAATGACACCAGTGTTTGGCATCTCCGTCAACATTAAATCCTCAAACTCTAAATGTTTCACAAACGTAGAACAGAATGTAAAGAAAAATCAAAACTGGATTAATTGTGTGTGTTTGCATCAGTGTGTGTGTTTATGCAGAGTTACATGATTTTTAAATTTACTCTCGATTTGAATTGTCGAATTATTAAGGTGCATTAGGTACTATAGATTGATGTTTATGAATATGGCGTCGTTTATAAACATCAGTCAATGAGATTGTTGAGTGATCACTTATCAAATGTCAAGTAACATTTAGCAATTTTTTTGGCATCAGAGGTGTACAAGTGTAATGTCCTGTGTGTGTTTTGTGTGCTTGTGAGACTATTTTCTGGATAAATGATCTCTGCTGGAGGGCATGGGTAACATTCTGCAGACTCCACACCTCTCTGCAATACAATTATCTCCTGAGGATTTAAGGAATTGACAGGCTGATTATCAGGAGAACAAAAATGTCTGAGTAAAGCCACAAGTTACTCTTCAGATGTTGTCTCCTTGTTGCAGTACATAGTTTATGTTTCTAGGTTTTCATTATCAGTTTCATCTGCCTGACTGCATTCAAGTGCTCCCTGTTAAACACCATCTGGTGGACTATGTCCAGAGGACATGACTGCTCCAGAAAAAGTTTCCCTTTAATACAACCCTAATGGACTCTCCATTCTCTACCATCTGGCAGAATTTTCCTCAACTCCAAGCTGCCACATTGAAACTGTAAGTCATGCATTCTATGATATCCTTGCCTTCTCTACACAAGCCTTGTGTAGATCCACAAGTGATCACTTATCACTTGTGTAGATCCACACAGCAAATCCAGGAGGCCCAGATTAACACTGTCATATTTGATTTCAACACTTTTAAAGTGTCTATATGGGTCCACACTAGAAAGTGTGGTAACACTTTATTTGAAGGGGGGTGAATAAGACTGTCATGACACTTTCATAA